GGTCACGGCCGCTTTTCGGGCCCTTATTTTAGCTTTTATGCCCCCCGGCTTATCCCCCCCAAACACCCCCCCCCCCGGCGCGCCGTCCAACCCCCCCCCCCCCGATCGTCACTCTCATAGAATTATTCCACTCGATCTTTTGTTTTTCAATCCTTCTGTATTACACTCTTTCTCAACCTCTGTCATCGAGGATGATGTGAGTGCTGGGTCGAGGTAGGATCCTCGTCGACCGTTGCGCCCATCCGTTACTATACTCGGACCGAACACCCTTTGGTTCTTTCGGACTTTCATCCTTCACGGACCCTCACAACCTATAATTCCTTCAATCGTCTGTTTTCATTCCTTTGTATTTGGTCGTTCATTGACTTTTTGATGTAAATAACAATCTAGGAGGCCAAGAACTCCACGTCGGTCTCCCCCATCTTCTTTGAGCGCGCAAATAGTTGACATTGCGAATGCATGGGTCTTCACAGCCGTCCATATTTCAGCCTGTGGACTATATCAACCGAAACCAGTTTCAATTGATAAATACCACGAGGGCTTTAACTACGGGTTTGGACTCTTCGGAACATACGACCGCGAAAGTCTCCTTTCGCTCCCTTTGCGAACTGCGGATCGTAGGAACCTTCACATGCATCGGAAATCCCGGTCACAGGCTGCCGAGAATCTCGACAGCTTGCGGACAAAGGGGCCTTTGGCGCTGACCGCTTGCTGTACCCATTCGACCGCAAGGATCAGTTAAGAGCCCCGGAGCACAATTTCCCAAGCCATTGCAATAGAATCCGGGCAGGATCAACGATGAAAGAAGCCAACCTTGGTCTGAACGTCAATGCCCGGGGCTCGCTCGGTCACAAAAACAGGGCGACCCTCCCTCCCACTTTCGCGATCGATCGGGATCGAACCGATGCCATAGAGTGCTCCAACCCCGAGGTTCTCAGACAGCTGTCTGTGAATCGGCCCCTCCATGCCCCTTTCTTAGATTAAATTCCACTCGCATTCACAATCACCAGCAGGACGTCATCGTAGTCAACTCTGATCATCATCATAATTGTAGAAACATTTCACTCCCCCCTTCTCGTTTCCGGCTCTGTTACATTATATCTGTATTCAGCCCCGGTCTTCGAGGAGGATGCGAGTGCTGGGTCGAGGCAGGACCTCGGCGACCGTGCCACCCATCCCCTACCATGTCCCGGGCCCGTATAGGGCCTCGCGGCAGGCTCGTGTATCCGCATCGCGTCCAGAGTCCTGACCAATTGAATCTTAATTTACAATATTGTAGGTAGTGGAGAGTATCATATCCAACGCGGGCAATGATGAATGTTACAATCACCGTCCGGGCACCTCCTTTGACCTGATGCCTTCACTTTGCCAGCACAAGTTTTAGAGAACTTCTAGTGTATGACGGGTCGTTGCTAAAGGCTGTTGAGAGCCTTGACTATTTGCAGATCAATGGGCTTTTGATGTCGTTCTAGAATGAAGGTCGGCGCCTGGGGTGTGGAGAGCCTTGCAGAGGACCAGTTGGACGATCCCTCAAGCACTTACAACAGAATGCACGCCGAGTGTAGATGTTATACCAGCGAGCCTCCATTTGACCGTCTCACGACGCGCGACTCTTCAGGCACTCCCTCCGAAACAAAACAAGAATCGGTCCTGCGGGATCGAACCGATGCCATACCGTCGATCTTATGCCCTAATTGTTCCCGAGTCTCGATCAATGGATATTCTACTACATTCAAGTCTCAGTCATAGGTCGACGACACTCTTAAGTGCTTGCGATTGAAAAGGATTTTGACTTACTTACGGAGCAGAGGCACGCGCATGCATCTTTCCAAAGCTGAGGCAAACCACAGTTTACGGCGGATTCTGGATCGAAGACAGTTTCCGGACGAGCTTTTCTTGTGTTTTACTTAAGCTGGATGGTCGTCGACGTTTCCATCTCTTGTGGGACCCGGCAAATTTCGGTCGGACCCACTTAGAGCCTAGAGCCGTTCAAACGAAGGAAAATCGAAATCAAATCCCTTCGATCGGGATTGAACCAATGCGACAGATTGCCTGCACTTTCCGGCTCTTGCATCGATGATAATTCTAGAGTTTTACGGGTTTCACTAAGGGGACGATCTGGGGAGTTTTCAATCGAACGAAATTTTAACCAATTCGAGCGGCGGTAAAACTTCGGGCGACTGTGTTAGACTAAGAAAAGAAGCAAAATCAAAAAGGAATTCCCTTCGATCGGGATCGAACCGATGGCCTTGGGATGGTCACGTGATCCATTACAGTCCCACGCTCTTCCAGCTGAGCTACAAAGGGGTTGTTGTAAGCCAGGCCATATAAAACTATCAGAACCGCACGGTTTGCGCAAAGCTCAAAGGACTGCATTCTCATTGCCTTCTGCGGATCAACTAAATATGAAATGCTAACTTAATGGTGTTGATGCGGCTCTGAGCAACTCGGGCGATCCATTTTTAGAGACGTTGGGGAGGGGGGAGGGGGAGGAAGGGGGAAACGTCACCGTGCTCACTGCTCATCCGCCCAACGCCCGCAAGGTCGAAGTTCGCGTTGATACCATACCTTATCACTGCTTGTTTGGAGTACTGAAGACAGGCAAAGATAGAGCACCAAATCAGGGGGGAGTGACGCCCCGGAGAGGGCGGCGAGGTGGCGAACCCCGCACGCTTCCCAAATAAACGAGCCCTTGCAGGGTCGATCGTCCTGCATCCCCCATTTTCGCCAGTCTTCAAACCATGCCCAGCAGAACATTCGCCCAACGACCAGTAAGGACTCTCCACTTGTTTTCATAACCTTCTCGTGCTGAATTTCCGCTTTGCAAAGGCCGCTCCAACCTTGAACACTTACCACCGGGTGCTCTTTCTCCCCGAACTGCTATCCATAATTTTTGGCCAGCTCCCAGGATATGAGTGTCGCAAACTCGCTCGAACGTGTCGAAGCTTTATTGAATGCGCCCTCGACGAAGGATGGAGACTGTTGAGAGACATATCTCATGTATTGGACATATGGGTGATTTGTGGCGTTCTTCGGCGTGTGGGGGATCAGGGAGCGCCGTACGAATATGTGAGTAGACGAACAATTAAAGACCTACCTCCCTGATGGATCCGCTTTTGCAGGGATTCTCTCGGCAGCCACGACCTGAGGATGTGGCGAGGTTATTTTACTACACTTCTCGCGTTCGTCAGATGCGGGTCCACGGAGCGGCGGATAACCACTGCGTTACGCCAGTCATTCCAATCTTTGCACCCAACTTCTTCCAAGCATTCGACACCTACCTTCACAAATGTCGGTGGAAGCATTCCTCTTCAAGTCATCCGGCATTCCTCTTTCCACGCCTCAAGAATTTGCGATGCGTTCCCTTCACAAACTTCGATTGGACAGGCTGCGACTTCTTCCTCCGAGAGAGCCCACAGCTCTTTAGGGTCGATATATCTTCCATCGAAGGACGTTTCGTCTTCGAGTGGCCCGCTTTAGTTCGCTCGTTACTAGAGTACGCGCCGGACTTGAAGGATCTCGCTCTGGTAGCGGAGCTGGCCCCACAAACGGTGCCGCCGAGCGATTTGGCCGAGCTCGCCTGGTTGATCGAGCAACGCGACGTCCAGGAGCTCATCCTTCACGATGCCGCAATCGCGTCGCCGCAGGTCTTGACCGCCATGGCCAGAAGCCCCAATCTTCAAAAACTCATATTCCTAGCGTTGGACGACGTTTTGCACCCCCTTTGCAACAACGTCGTCGTCGGTCGCGGATTTCCAGCATTAGCCAGCATTTCTGGCCAGTTCATGACTGTCCTGAGCATGCTTCATGCGGCTCCATTCAGCGGACTGCAGGAGATCAACGTCAAATATCCGGTAGCATGGACTGCGAGTCCACGTCCAAGACTTTCGTGGAGTTGGGATTCGATTCGTGTCTTCCTGGAAGTGGTGGCAGATCACGCCCCAAATTTAGAATCCCTCCATTTCAATCTCGCCGCCAACGATATCGATCCGTCAACGCAGGATGATGGGCCATGTGCTTTTCTACCACTCGCCCGATGCCGGCATTTGCGAATCCTGGATATCGATCTCCAAGACGCCGCCCTCGATCCCCCAGGATCACCCAACATCTTCAACCCCACCGACGACGACTGGTTAGTCCTTTGCAAGGCATGGCCACAGCTTACGTGCTTGTGGTATATCTGTGGCCCAAATCAATCCTGCAGATCACATACACCTCCATTCAACCCAACCCCCAAAGCGACGGTGAAAACAGTATTGCAGCTTCTCCAGCACTGCAAGTCACTTCAAACAATCAATATTCCCATGAGAGCGACAAGTTCAACCGTCAGGGCCTGCCTAGCGGATGCCAAGAGCGTCAGGCACTTCTCTTTGACCGAGATCGAGGCATGGGGCTCACATATCGAGGCTGACTGTGCCGAGGATCTCGCAGAGCTTCTGGCGACGGTTGCCCAAAATCCCGACTTCGGACTCTACGCCCCAGTCTGCAGCCAGTTAGCAAGCGGGCCGGCTCAGCCACCTCACCATTATGACGAAGAGCCACGGTCGCTCGACGATGTGGAACTTGAGCGCTGCCGGACTTGGCGCCGGGTGGTTACACTCATTCAACGTTTCAGGATTAAGGGCGGTCAGAAAAAGGTAATTCAGGATGGCAAGCTTTACATCGTACACTTGGCTGATTTTTATTTGCTTTTCAGCTGAACCAAGGTGAAACGCAAACGTCTTGAGCAGGCGGTGGAAATATAGCACTTTTGTCCACCGCCATGCCGGTTTCAGATCGTTTCTCACGTGAGGACAGTCTAGAGACTATTCGCGTGCTACTCTATGTTACTTTAATCGACTATAGACTCGACCAGCTAGATTTAACGACTGAGCCCACGAGAAAAAGTACCGACGGTGTTAGTGCCGTATGTCCGCCGACCACCAG